TCAATCATGCATGCCATTCACTTTTGTTAAATGACACTGTTCCAAGCATTTCTGTTTTCCTTATGGGAATAACTGGTATGACAACAATAAGGTTTTTTTTGCTACAAAGTGAATTAAATTGAAAAATACAGAATAAAAGGAAAGTAAAAATGTATTATGTTTACATGATCAAATATTTTAAGTGTTTAATTTATAATCTTTAAATTGCTAGTTAAAAAACATTCTAGTTTCATGAGTGTAAATTTGTAAATAATGTTTGCATAAATAAAAGAAAAACTATTATAATGAGGATATAATGTACAGGCTTCTTTAGTGCATTTTGCATAGAAATCATAAAGCAAGGTGGTTATTACATATTATTTAACAATGTTTATTAAAAAATAGAAGATATTACACTTTTTTTTTTATAAGAACCAGTAAAATTTTATCCAGGCTCAGTGTTCTTATTTTTGGCCTATTTCAGACTCAAAATGTTCTTATTTTGTTCTTATGTTACACGCTTTTCAAACATAGAAAATTATTATTGTACAGCAGTATACACTGTACTGGAATGTAGGTAAATTGGCCTCGGAAAATGACCCCTGAAAAAATGGCCCCTGCAAAAAATGGCCACAAATAACGGTAGGTAGGCCTGCACCAACTGTACTGTATTATAGATGGTATTACATAGTCACACCTACTGCACATAAAGTACATATATAATTTTTTAGTTTTTCTAGTTTTTAAAAAAATAAAAATCTCATTTGACATTTTAAAAAAGAGCAATCTATAAAAATGGGAAAAAATAATTAAAACAATATAATATTTTTAATGAAATTCTTTACATAAAAAGTTTATAAATTTACCTTTATATTATACTACATGCCTTCAAAACAAGATATGATTCACAATTTTGTTAATAACAATAAAACAGAAGCATTTAACTTCCAGATACATTGAGGAATTTGTGCGAAATTCTTAAGAAACTTTGATACATTATTAACGCTGCTCCTAGAGTAGACTTGGAGGAGTCTTTGTTCCTGATGAACTTCAATTAGTGGTGACCCATTTCATGCGGTATGAACAGAATACTCATTGACTTGCATGTTCAAACATCATATAAAAACGTGGAATATTAAGATGATACTTTCTGGAAACACAGAGAAAGGTGGAATATTTATGCAGAGAAGTTTTTAAAAAAACATGCATAGATATGTGGAATATTAATGATACGTTTTAGAAACACAGAAGTATTTTTAATCCTGTAATGATGCATTTTTAAAACATGCAGTGAAGTGTAGAATATTAATAATAATACATTAAAAAAACAAAGAATAGTTGAATATTTAAATTTTAAGAACATGGAGTAGTATGGAATATTATTAATGATAATACTGTTTTTAATACATGTAGGAAAATGTGACATACTAATGACATTGACAATACATCTTTAAGAGCACAAAAACCTACGGAATATTCATTATGTCTGACTTTAAAACACACAAAAGAGTACTATTACTTGTAATTATTTTTTTTATGCAGACATGATGCAGGAAAATTTGAAATGATAGTGGCAATATTTTAGGCCTATTTCCACAAAAAAATGTGAAGTATCATTGAGGATATATTTTAAAATCCATTGAGATGAGAAATATTAAAATGTACATTTTAAATACTGAATGGCTGTATGTGGAAGGTGAACAATGATTAATTATTGTACAGTCAAAAAAGCATTAATAAAAACTGTCACAAAGAAATTTGCAAGCATACTTTGTTTAAGCCAAATAAAATTAATTGCCAATTTCTGCTCCCTGCCCTCAAAAATTTTGGATCCTCATGAAATATTTTGCTATATTCCAAAAAATTATATTTTCATGGAAAGTAAAAATAATTACAATCTGAATGATTGTTGTCAAAGGAGGTGAAAACATAAATCGCAGAATACAATAGAAAGATCATGAAAAAAAAATTCATTTAAACAAAATTAGTTTAATGGATCGTCATTCTCTTACTGTATGTATGCTTTTTGTAGTGCCATATCACTCCTAGTGTACTGTATAGGATAGAAAATTGGAAATACCCTCACCAAAAAATAATTTCAAATCCTAGACATGAATCTAAGAATTCATTTTATTTTACTTTAAAACTACAGTTTCCATTTTTCTAATATTGTGCTATTTATAAACATATAGGAAAAATGTGTTCAGAATGCTTCATTCCACCTCATTTACTGTCCTTTGTTAAAAATCACCTGTCCTAATTAACTGCTGTTGTTTTAATGTGTTCGCTTTTATCACGTTTACATTATCCATGAGTTTAATGCGTACACTTGTCTTTGAATTTATGGGTGATTAGCTGGGCATGGAGGTCTGTGGTTTGTTTAGTTTAATGGATCTTCATTGTCTTACAGTATGTGTTATTTTTGTAGTGCCGTATCAAAATAAATGTATGCGAGATGCTTGTTATTTAAAGGAAAAGAAACATTTTATTTTCATTACACCATATTTAAAGATGTATTGTCCCATAAAAAAGTGGGAAAAAAAATTTAAAAACCATACTTGAAAGTAACTTGCTTATTTTGAAGTTAACATATAAATTATTAACGTGAACATAGAAATTAGCATATTTTTTAAATGTTTACCGATAGTTTTACAGAGAAAATTATAAGAATACTTTCAGTCGTTGAAAGTGTTTTTATCATATCCAGCATAAAAATCAGGGTACATATTTTAAAAATTAAAAATGTCTATGCTCCAGTTAATAATTTATATATTACTACAAAATTAGCAAGTTAATTTCAAAATTATTTTTTGATTTTTGTCATTTCAGAAGACAATACACTTTTTTAAAATTTTTTATAAGACCCAGTAAAATTTTGCCCAGGCTCACTGTTCTTATTTTTTTCTTATTTTACACACCTTTCAAACATAGAAAATTATTATTATACAGCAGTATATACTGTACTGAAATGTAGGCCCCGGAAAAATCGCCCCTGAAAAAAACAGCCCTGGAAAAAATGGCCCCAGAAAAAATGCCCCGTTAGAATTGGCCCCGAACGACTGTACTGTATTTTAGAGGGTTTTACATAGTCCCACCTACTGCTCATAAGGTACAGATATAATTTTTTGTTTTTTGTTTTTCTTTTTTTTTTTTTTTTTTTTTTTTTAAATAAAAAAAGCTCATTTGACATATTTTTAACTTGAACAATTTGTTCTTATTTTGTTCTAAATTTTTATGCAATGTCAGCCTCAGTGTTCTTATAAAATGTGTTATATAAAACAAAGTGTACATCATTAACAAAGGTGGTCCATCTAAGCATAGCTGATAAATTGTGACCTATAATAAAATCTCAGTGTTTTTTGGAGTGGAACTGATAATACTTATACTCATAATGGCATTTGCCCAATGTATCATTATACATAATCAATAACTTGAATGTAAATATTTCCTATTATGAATTCAGATTGATTAATAACCAAATAATATGATTTTAAATTACTTTGGAACTTGATGGTAGTAATGTATATAGCAAGAAATATAAAGTTAAAAATCATATCACAAATTATGTATTAAGATTTTTTTTTTTTGAAATTACATAAATATTTTTATAATAATTATTTTTTCACTTGTCATTTTGAAAAATATAGTTCATCACAAGATGATTATAATTATATCTGAAAGTTGCTCACTAAAATAAACACATGACTCTCCAAAAATACCAATCATTGTAAATCAAAAGCAAAACTCAAAAGGTGGAAGTTGCATAATGTAAAACTGATTGCAACATTGTCAACATTAATTGAGGTCGCATCTGATTGTTTTTGCGTAAGTATGTTCCTGAGAGTTCCAGCGACGAGTAGTTGAACTCCAGCATGTGCTTCAGCTTCAGTGTGGCTTAGTGTAGCGTAGCGAGATTGAAAATCGTGGCTGCCATGTATAAGTGCAAAGATAAAAAACAATTTTGAAAACAACATAAGATGTGTATTGCTAGTCGTGAAATAAAATCTTAAAACTATAGCTTAGGGTCTAGTCTTTTGTTCCTGATATATCTGGTAACATGTTGATTATTAAGTATGCATAGTTTTAGAATCATATTGGCCTAGCAACTTAGATCAAGCTATAGTAATTTGGCTAATTAATATCATGGGTCTGTTTAGGTAATAAAAATGATCAACATTTAAATCTGTTTGTTTAATTTATGTCATTAAGCATGAGACTTGGGAGTAGCTATGCTACTGACAATTGAAAATAAAAAAAAGGAGGTTACCTATGCTACGTACTTACAATTGAAAATCAAAAAGAGATTTAAGAAAATTTGACAAGATTCATCCATTTAGCCTTACTTCAGACGTGCAGAATCACTCACAAACAAAAACAAGTTAGATAGTTGGGTGATGCTAAAGGCAAATATATTACGTACATTGTTGATATCTATACTTCAAATTTGTTAATTATTAATTTCCAGAAGCGGTTGATGTCATTAGAATACTTATTGATATACATCATGTCTGCGAACAATTAATTTGTTTCCCTCCTTTAAAGATAGTCGGAGGTCAATCAGTTCCTCCATTCCTCCACGATTCTTTGCTGCAACTAGTGACATTCCGTTGAATGATCTTTCGCTGCAACCTGTGGCATGTAACATGCCAGTCCAAATGTGCACCAGGCGGAAAACTAGCCATCATGAATTACCTAATAATCACCGTTTTAAATCAAGAAGCACTTTCTATTCCGATGTACCAGGAAATGCGATTTATTCAGGAAAGCTGAAAAGGCGTAATGCATTTCGTTTTCCACGGGAACAAGTAGCCTTAAAGGTACATGGATGTAAACGGACGTTAGGACATCTTTTTACTTGAAATGTCATTTAAACCCACAGGACATTTTTTGTCGAGCCTCTGGCTACTGTAGTCTAATGACATGTATTTATGTTATCTTTTTCTTTACTATAATTTCCATGCAGATAAATACCACCATTTGTTTTGTATTTTATTTTAAAATTGACACCATTTCTTTTACAGAATCATGACCATGACACCTCCCTCCATTTTGCCGCACAATATGGCCACACCGATGTAGTTGCTTTACTTTTAGAGGTAAGCAGTGTATTTTGTCTCATTTTAAAATATAATTTATTGTTATTTTAAAATATGATTTGTTGTGTTATTTTTGTTCTTGTTTTGAATTTGTGTTTGTTGTTTTCCCAAACCTTTTTTTTATTTGTGGCTCTTCTGCCACAGGCCTGTCCTTAGAAAGTTGCCTTCTTTTTCCATCTCTAAAATGAACACTACTATTTTACTTAGATTGATTATTTTTACGGTACTTAACTTGTACATTACCATTTTAATTTTGTATTATTATTTTGCCTTACATTTTTAAAATGTTTAGTGAAATTAATATTTTTGTTTAATTTCTGTTATTTGAAAGAAGAAAATAAATGTTTCACTTGAAATTGAAATATTTATTTTATCTAATGTTCATATTTGTGGTTTCTTAGAATTATAATATAGTGTCAATTTTTAGGATTTACTGACTTGAATAATTTCTCATCTTTCTTGAGAACTTTTAGTAGACTGATCTATTTCCATAATTCTGACAAACTTTATTTAAGCTTGAATTCATTGTATTTTGTATTTTTTTTTGTATTTTTTTGTATTTTTTGTATTGTATTTTGGGCAAATGAACTCCTCGGAGCCAACGGCCAACCATGCTTTAGTTTAAGGAGCAGGTTTTTAGGTTCCATAAAATAACATAAACTTTTTTTCAAAATGTCAAACTCAAAGAGCTCAATCACCAAGTGCATAGAGGCTTTTTTGCATGATACGCTATAAAAATCCAACTGTTATTATTATTATTATTATTTCATTTAGTCTGATGGTAAACTATGCATTTGATGGTTATTGCATTAGATATGTTGAAATATTTAATTCTAGCACTACATTTACCACAAATAGGAAATGATGTTTAAATATTTAAGTCTTAGTTTGTGATCCACTTTCAATGCAGGATATAGTAACTGCTGTACCATCACTACAAAGCAGAAATTTAAATCCCTTATGTTGGAACTTTTTAACGTTTAGTATTTCTATAATTTATTTCTAAATTACATCTAATTGTTTAGAGTTAATGTTAAAAGTATTCAATTTAAAGTCATTATAAACTTCTAAAAAAAATCATAAATCTATAAATTTGTATCACTTTATAATTAGGAGTGGCTATACAGTAGTTACACAACTCATTCCAAATTTTGGTTGTGTGTGAATGTCCTATCCAGTCCATATAGTATGTTTACAAGTGTTGTAACAATAGCCACTGCCTGTATTAATTTACTCCCATTCATTCATCATTCATTCAGATAGAAGATGTGTAGTATAAAAAGATTTCAACAGGTAAATTCCTATATGAATGAAACACTAATTGTTATTTTAATCTAGAGTAAGGCCCTATTGTTGTATTCATGTAAGGATAATAAATAATGTTTTCCCATTTCTTGAAGTTGATAGATAACCTGTTTTTAAGATTAATCGTTTTAATTCCTTGTAAATCCCTTTCGGGGCTTATTTTCTATGATCGTACACTATCAGATGGCAATATTGTCTTGAGTAAACTCTAATTCAATACGGTGCTGTATTTGAATTGCTTTTTTTAAAAATATATTTTAAGAAATGTAGTAGCTTTCAATTAAAAATTGGAATGAAAAAATTGCAGTTAACAATGGATTTAAATAATACATTTTCTATAATATTTCGGAGACCTTAAAAAAGGCTCAAATCAAAATGTGTGCATCATTAATAGTTCCTTATTTTATTGGTTGAATGATGATATGAGCTCTTCAGTGTTTATATGATTAATATAATGAGAGATAAAGAAAATGAAAAGATGAAAATAAATTTAAAAAGATAGAGGGAAAGAAATGAAAAGAAAAGAAATAGAAAATTAAAAGAAGGAAAAAAGAAAGAAAACAAACATTAACATTAGGATATATTTAAGACACTGCCTTAAGCACCCAGTTTCTGGAAATGTGCACAATAAAAAACTTCACTATCATTATAGGTGATCTTCAGGGTTATTTTACAGTGTGATATCTCTCTAATGTATTATAAAATAAATTGATCTATTTTCTGAAATTACCATGGCAACCACAGATTTGTTTATGATTTCGAGTTTGGTTTCAATCTGGCAAACGATTCCATGAACTATAAATGCAAATTTTAGCGCCTGACAATGTCAATATATTATTATATTTAGGCCAAACAACATTATGGAAAGTTTATAATACAATTTTAATATGATGTTTATTATTCATGAATGTTTTGGGAATGTTATTTTTTCTAGCAAATATTTTCCATTTTCAATCAATAAATTAATCATGAATTTTTTGAACTTCGCTCTAATTTTTACCTACATGGCAGCAGACTAACCAGTGGAAAATCCTGTATATATTGAATACCAGGAATATACGTAATTGTGAATATTTTATTATTTGATATAAATATTTGGACAACTGAATTACTTTAAAGTATAAAGTGTCTGGTGTGTATTCCCAAAAGAATATTAGAGTAAACATTCTATAAATTTATTTATTCATCTATTTATTCTGATAGCCAGCACAGCAAAGAATAAACTACTAGCTCTGTATAATGAAAATTTAATATTGTTACTAATATTACTACAGTGTACTAATTTTAAAAGACAGTAGAAATACATTATTTAATGTGCAAGTCTCATATACTGTAGTAAGGCCAAATAAAATTAATTGCTAATTTCACTTTTCCAACCTCATCAAAGTTTGGAGCCTCATGAAAAAATTTAAAATTTGCTGTTTTCCAAAAAAAATTAATTTTTCCATCAAAAAGATTTAAAAAATGATGATTTAAAAGGTTGTTATCAAAGTCTAAAGCTCTATCCACACTATCAAATTTTCTTTGACAAAAAAATTTGACATGCCCATATATGGTAATGCTATGCCTATATATGGTCATTGTGTGATGTCATCATGCCTATATATGGGCATATCACACTTTTTTGTCACACAAAATTTGATAGTGTAGACAGAGCTTAAGAAGAGGTGGAAACATAAATAGCAGAATACTTTTCACAGATTCATTTTACTATTACCATTACTACTGTATATTTACCAGCCTGTCTACTACTACAGGATAGGATACTATAGGATAGTAAATAGCACATAGTAAAACCCTCACTCAAAAACAACTGGATGTGAAACCAACAATTAATTTTATTTGGCCTTATTCAAGATGCTTGCAACATATTTACCCAGGTGGTCTTGAGTTCCGCAATTTGCAAATGAGCGCAAAGTGCAAGCCCCCTCACAGTATAATAAGCAAGAATATAAACCTTAGATTGTCTGACCTTCTACAGTATCACATCTTTTATCACATGTTATTAGTTTAACAAACCATTCAATATAATTTTTTGAAGGCTGATGATGAAGTATCATCATTAATATCATCCTTTCCCACAAGGACAAGATCAAGTTAAATATATAGTAGTAAAAATAACTTAAATTCACATATAGTTATCATCAACCCAAGGACTGTTATCTGTACAACCAACTATTGCCATTGTTGCTGTTGTCATCATCATCATCATGTCATCATTATCATTTTTACCACTATATAATCATTCACATCCATTTTCATTATTTTGTTGCGCTGACTTTGCATTCGATGAAAACCAGCTTTACTGAAATCAAGCCTACAGTAAATTAGTGTGGCCTTGCTTTACTGTATAGTACTTGGCAAAATATAGTAATTGAATATGTTGGCCTTATATAGCACATGATGCCATGTACATTACTTCCCCGGTAATGGGGTCAAACACCAGATGGAACATCCACTACCTTCCCTTAGGGAGTATTCTGTAATGTTCCTAGTAATCAGCGCATTCAAACCTACCAGGTATGCTAATATACTTAAGCGTATACCCCCGGGTGGAGAGAGACAATGTTATGCGACTTGCCAGGGATACTATATAGAAAGTGCCCAGTATGGAACCCATTTTAAAACACTCAACCACATGTTTCCACAAAATACCCAAAATTATTTTATGAAATGGCTCTTATAATCACTGTATTAGAATGATTTTAAACTTAATATTAAAATTTGTTATAGGAGTTTAAACAACTCCATGGTATAAATAATTTCAAGTTTTCTCATTGCAAATATGATTTGCTTTCATGATACTAGTCCGGTGGCTTATGTCATCCCGTGGGAATTTCGTGATCATTTTGTTTTTGTTTTTTAATTATATACTTTGAAGTATGCTGAATCGAATAAAATGAGTCGCCAATTTTTTTACGCTCATACTACATTGAAGCCATCAAATATAGTTTTATTGTGAATCATTCACACATTAAACACGACTATCCCGGATTTCATTACCATACTTGTTTTGATTTCAGTTCTTCTAATGAAAGATGAATATGTATTACATTGAATATCAATAATGAGTCAGCCTAAGTAATTTAATCTTGATAAAGCAATCTTAAATGTAAAGTCAAAGGTTTTTTCTACATAAGTAATTGAAATCCTTAATAATATATAATTACTTTATGATTATTTCACTATTCAAACATTAAATCATTGTTATCATTAATAATATTGTTCTTATTGTCAGTTGTCAATCTTCAAATTAAAATCCATATTTGTGGTAGCATGCCACACAAATCTACTCATTTCTTGAGTATTTCTTTTTTAGATTTTTAAGTATATCTTAAATCAATATTTAATCCTTCGTAGACATGACGTCTGAGAAAGAAATCCCGCTGCCAGTGCCAGTAATTTAATATACAGCGGTTCAGAAACAATATACTTTGATTCTTAGAACTTATTCAATTGCCTTCTCAGAGGATTACTGCATTTCTGGGTTGATCAATGATTCTCCAAGTTATGTATACTGTCAACGACATTTTAATTGTAAAATCCATAACTAATTTATACAATTTATTACAATGTTGTCATGCTTGGTTGGACTAAACCAGTAGCATCTTTTTAGAATCACGCAGCACAAGGCTATGAACAACACCGAACACTTTTATTAATTTAACATTAGGCAGGACTTCTTATACCATTGTTTAGCAAGCATCCCCTAGAAAAAAATATAATTTTATTTTTGGGCCAGTTTTAGTGCACCTGCTGCCACAAAAAATGGAAATTTCAGTTTATTTTTATTTCGCCTGTTGCTGCCTTGAAATCTCCTGAAATAAAGTATCTTTATATTATCCTTTTTATATAAATTTAAAGCATCAATCCTATTACTACACTGCTTTTATTCACCAGTAAACTTTTATTTTCTTTTCCATTATGATACTTTTGGCAAAACCATTTGCTAAATAAGTATATACATTTTTTTTTTCTGAGCTCCTCTGAGGTACAAAAATATGTTTGCTAAACAAGGTATTATTAAAAAAGTCCTGTCTCATCCCTAGATCAATAATTGTTAAACTAGAGTGAAGTTTACAGTAACTTTTCTCCATTTAATATGGGAAGTATACAGTAGTCATGCTACAATACATAACATTGGCTGTATTTGACTGGTCGTTATTCGTTAAACCACGCCTACCTGCACAGTGGTAAAATCCTACTTAATGAATGAATCCTACTCTATTCAATGACCAGTTGAATAGATAACTTGTAAATATTCAACAAAACAAAATGGCCGCATACTGTAGTTACCGCGATTCACGCTGTGTTATCAAGATTGCTTCAGCTTGTGACAGTATGGGTTTTTCGTAAAAAAATATTTTCATCCGGTTTTTGAATTCTGTTAGTCTACACGCTCATTGACAACGAGTCACATTCAGTGCCAATACTTCATACTATGTACCCATGGTACTCCTCAGGGAGGCAAACAGGAATAAAGTATGTTTTTTGCAAGGTCAAAATGACACAAGGGTTCGAACTCTGACCTCAAGATTGAGAGCTGAACCATAACTGGTGGTTGATTAAAGCATCAAATATTTATTAAAATCAGATGCATAAAGAAAAATAAATCAGTTTTTTCGCTAATTTACTGACATTTACAGAAGGTTTTATCAATTTAAAAGTTTTTTGTTAAAGTATATTAACTCAACACAAACTTATATGCTAGCTTTTCATATTGTTTTATAAAATTCTGTATAACCTTCATTACATTCAATTTTTTTTTTTAAAGAATAATGCTGATCCCGTCATTACAAACAAAAGGGCGGAGACGCCAATTCACCTGGCTGCACAATATGGACGTCTCGAAGCGGTACAACAGTTATTACGTTGCCAGAGCCTCCTGGAGCGCATTCCACCTACACATTCGTTGCTTCATCTCGCAGCCCGAAATGGACATCATCAGATCGTCAAGTTGCTGTTAGATGAAGGCTGCAATATTAACCACACAGTAAGATTCTTTATTTTGTTTTGAGATTGATTCTGGGAATTGCACCACAAAAATAATTAAATAATATTTTAAGTCTGACTACTCTATCTTCTCACATCCCTATCTTTGGCTTTTTATGTATGGTACACTATAAGTTGGATATTGGCCCACAATGATAGATGTAAAGAAATAATTTTTATGTATTTATAAAATATTTACAGTATTTTTATGTATATTTAATTGCTAATATTGTCAATTGTTCTCTTAGTTAATTCTTCCATTGTTATTTATTGTTTTTATTATTATCATCATTGTTAATATTATTTAGTTTCTGTTGTTATTTATAATAATTTCAATACACACTTTTTTTTCACTTTGGTTTTAATTTTAATTCATTTCATGTGTTTAAAACTTAAAGTATATCATATTATTATTATTTGATAAAACAATTTTCATCTTTCTTTTCATCTCATAATTTGTATCCTACAGGCTAGACTACATAACAATGAGGTATACCTTTCTTTTATCTGCTATCAGTATACCTTGCATATTATCCTTGTATATTTCAGTGTTACCATGTACAATTTATTTGAGTTTTCATGTATATTTAGTGTATATTTGAGTGTTAAATTTTAATCTTATTACCATGTAACCATGTATTTTTTAGAGTTATGTTGCATATTTCAGTGTTACTATGTTTTGAAGTGCTGTGCGTACTTGAGTTACCATGCCTATTTTAGTTACTATTCATATTTGAGTTTTCATGCATTTTTGAGTTCCAATGTATGTTTTATTTAGTGTTTTTCTGTATATTATTATCTTTGTGTTTAATATTTTTGTAAAATTGCATGCAAAATCTTATAAATATAGTAAAATCTATATGACAATGCTGGGTGCACGCTTGGGTGAGTACCGCCTGTTTCACGTCACCGGCGTTCCAATAACTGTTGAACCTTTATTTGGAATTAGCTAAGCTTAACAACATGTATTCTTCAGACCCATGAAATACTGTACAACAAAATTGACATGTAACCTTCTGCTTGGATTTCAAGATTCCTATAAAAAAAATATTTTTTAAAATTTTATTGTTTATATTATTGTGTGGAACAATTTATAGACTATTATTTTATACATAACGTTGGTGACCGTTCATTACGCCTGAATGACTTAATAGGCTTTCTGGAATAGGCATTTTAAAATCTAATATTTTACCATCAATATGTAAAAACACAAAAGCTTGCATTATATTAGTTATTAAACACACATTTAATCATCAATTAAAATTTACAAAGAAAAAGTAAGATACAACATCTTAATAATTATGTTAGAAATTGGGATCAATGGTTTGTCAGTGGAGAATATGGCGTCTGGTTGAACTCATTTTGCAACGATAGTAACGGAGTAGTATTACGTGGTATCGTGACGTAACACTGTAGTACTCTATAGACATTTATTATTATTTTTTGTTTTCTTCTCTTTTTTTACAAATTGTGATCCAAACGTACTCTTAACATCTTGGAATAGCAAACAGAACATAAGGCCATTATAAAAAAAAGTTGTTGATCGTCCCCTACCTACTTACAAAAAATCACCTGACCAATTTATTTATTTATATTTTTTTTTAATTTATTTTCACCAAAACTCAAGAAAATGTTGTCTTTCTTCCCATAATTCAACTTTGGCTAGGCCTAGGCTTTATTTTTTTGATTATTTTGTCTTTCAATTGTTTGTTTGTATAAATTCCACCTGATGAAACTCTACAATGGAAGATCTGGTAAAGTCAGCCACCATTTACATAAGGCTTTGGACTCCATTGGGGATTCAAAGACTTGACATGTATAAAAAAAAAAAACCTCTCTCCCTCCCTACCGACTTTTTTTTTAAAGGACGATCAACAACTCTTTTTTTCATGGCCTAAATATAAATATTCCATTAACTTTTATTACACGTGACAGATTTTAATGTTTCAAGGAAAAACAATTGTGAAGTTAGATATTTATGGTTCTAGGTTAAGAACATGTTTTGTCATAGCAACCAGTTTATTAATGTTCCCATTATGAAATTCATCTGACATATATTAAAGATTTCGGAAATATAATCCAATAATTTTATTTAAGTATGGGAACCTTGTAACTGCTTTAAAGTTGTTTACTCGGAAGTGAATATATTTATTTCAGCCAGCAATTATCCCCTTATACCACTGGAAATGAAACATCCAGAATTTTCAGTCTGTATTTGTATTTGTGTCAGGCTCTTAAACATGAAAAATACAATCTAAAGGTCTGTCCCCACTATCAAATTTTGTGTGACAAATATATGTGATATGCTCATATTTAGGTGTAATATGACATCATCATGCCCATATATGGGCACATCACACAAATTTGTCACATAAAATAGTATTACAGATCATTATATTTGAAATGAGATATTAGCCAATTTGTACAATTGTAGTTAGAACTGCATATGCTCGTATCAAGGTCAATGGATATAAGCACCATACACACAACATAGGTTAAAGATCAATAGATATAAACACCATACACACAACATAGGTTAAAGATCAATAGATATAAACACCATACACACAACATAGGTTAAAGATCAATGGACATAAACACCATACACACAACATAGGTTAAAGATCAATGGACATAAACACCATACACACAACATAGGTTCATGTTGATTAACCTCGGATACGAGCATGCGCAGTTCTAACTATGAAATGGCTTATTGAAATTTCATGGCGACTCATTTTAGAATTTTTTTAATTGTCTGTGTGAAGAATTATGGAATGATTTGCATTAAAATGGAAAATGGTTTCTTGTACTGAATAACCAATAGTGTAAATATTTGGCAATGCATGCATTTCAAGTATTAAGTTTTATTTAATTTATTTTATTTTATTAAGTTAGTATGCTGAGCAAAAGGCAGATATTTTATTGGCAAACCAAACCGGCCTGTTTTGAGAACACATTACCAATTAATTTCCAATAGTTTTAAACGTCTGGAATTGATAAACTGTATGCAACTGTTTGTGATTCAATTGATCAAAAATGAACTTAAGGCAAATCAAATACATATAAAAATGATATTGAATAATAAATAAATAGTAATAGAGTGGATTTAAAGGCTTGCCTTGCTTAGCATTTATACTCACCCGAAAGGTATTACTGTATGTTTTACCGGAACAGAGATTTTGCAACTTTTGCATGTGGAACTGTCTTGCCAATTTTTCTTATCCATTAATTTCTGTACACTATAGGCCTGTTGCATATTGGTTTTTTTTCTTATTTTAATAATTTAATTACCATATTGTGAGATATACTTTAATATAGGTACAAAAATACTAGGGTTTATTGCATACCAATTTACAAAAATATGACAAGCTGTTAAATCAACATCCCTGAAAAAAATATTCTGGGTTCCATTTTCCACCCCCTTTCCTTTACTGTATATCTCTTTCTCTTCTTTTTTTAGCATTTTGTGATCAATATGTTAGTGAATGTATATAATTAATCTTGTCTTGAATCTGCGAATGCAAGTTGTGCTTGTTGAATTATCATGTCGATTTATATGCATGTTGATCACATAAAAATTCAATTTATTTGCTCATTTCTTAAATAAGTAATAATGTCAATGAGAATACGGATGTCGTCAAACGTTGCTCATCAAGAGATTTTTATTGCAAGGTTTTAATTACTAAATTTGCTGAAATTATGCATCCGATTCTTTTCAATTTGCTTTATCACAAGGTTGTAAAAAATCCTCATAAATAAGCTTATAAAAGCCTTTTGACATACTGTATGCTGTTGATGGCATTTATAAAAGATAGTATCCCATGTTGTAATGTTATGGTTGTAACATGTTTGCAGATAGTCTTCACTCATCTTAACATCAACAAACTATTCTGTTTAAGTTTGGAATGTGTTGACTGCCAAATGGTGAATTATTGACATGGTGAATATTCAAAGTCGAAAATTCAATTTTCTCAAAATAATACATTTCTTGAAAGTGGCGGACATATAATATAAATTAGTTTCTGTCGCACTTTTTAGAAATGGGAAGTACAGTAGGAGGCGCTATATTTTGGGGGTGGGTAGAATTTTTTTCAAATCTAGTTGTTATGCTCATACCGCCAGTGGTGGAATCACAACTTTACTTAGTGACGCGAGTGGCAGTTGAAAACTAGTGACCTGAGGGAGCATGAACTACAGTATTGTCTGATGGCAGTGGTTATGATGGTATAGTATAGGGTCCAGGAGGCTATTTCTCTGGAAGCCCAGAGTTTTAAGACAGTTTATCTCTTCTAATCCAAATATAGGACAATGAAAATTCCCACTATTTGTACAAAAAATTTGGTGTTCCAGTAATGAATTAAAATTATATTAATAATAATATTACATTGTTACATTTATATACAGTAGCGCATAATTCCAGAGCTTCTATGCTCTTAACATAAACAGAAAAGACAACTGGGTCCAGCTTACAAAAGGCATGCTAACCTACCTAGGCATAGGTTGGAAGATCAGACAAACAAGACTTAGCCCAACTAGTTTTCAATTAAATAAATTATACACACTGTTTTTGGTTCGCTGTCGTAATAATTTACGTACGAAAGTGCGGAGATAAAGAAGGAGATAAAATTACCTGACCTTTTCTCGAGAGGGGGGAAACCTTGAATTTTTAAGAACTTATTAAAAGACTCCTCAGAAGTTGGGAAAGCTCATTTCCGGCCATCTAGAAATCAAAATTTTCCGTACACCCCCCCCCCCCATTCATTTTGGGGTTTTATTGGAAACATATTAAGCTATGCTTTCCAGTGCAAACTGCACATCTGCTGAACATGAGAGGAAAAATTTGTGCAGAAAAATTAAGCAGACAAAAGTGGATTCAGCTTATTTGTGCAGGGACTTCTTAATGCTTGCTTAATACTTATCCTGTTTTAAGAATTTAATTAAGTTTCAATCAAAATAATGAATCTTAATGTTTTCTGAATTACGTTTAATTTGTTTACATTCCTTTGTATTAAATCCAAACATATGTAAGCATTTGTCAATTTGTTGTAATTTTGGTCTGCATTGTTTTCAATTTACTAATTCAGTATTTTTCGAAAAAATTATTATAATTGGTAGATGAATTATAATTAAATGATGATACTGCAAAAATTAAACTAATTTGATTTATTTTAACAAAATTAAACTCATATTTACAGAAAATATGTATTTTAAGTTTTAATTAATATCCTGTTATGCTTTTTCCTTGCCAATAAACTGTACATTTTGAATAATAAAATACATTATAGATTTACTGTGGTGGCTCAACAATTGAGCTATCTTAACGCTAGCCCACTGCCTGTCATTGGCAGTTTAAGCAGATCATTGTGAAAAGTTTTTGTTGTGTGACTTTGATTCGGTTCACCAAGCTTACAGTTAGGCTATCAAACTTGAGGTGGTCTAAAAGTGGATAGATTTAAAGTTCTTGACATGCTTTTGCTTGTGTCTAGGAAAAGGCAAACTGTATTGCTCTCTGTTTCGAATGGGTACTCGAATGGTTTGAGATTTTAATGTGTTTAGTCAATGCTGAATGTTGATGCATTAGTCAAATCAGCACTATAAATGAAGCAGTTATCTCCGACCATGAACATTTTCTTTATAAATCCTCTAGCACCACAGTTTGTACAATATAGGGGGAAAAAATTTATTTTTATTTTTGTTGGAGTACAATGCTTCTGACCACCAATTGTGTGATCTCGCGCTTTTTTACAGACATGGCTAGCAAAAGGTGCAGGGTGCACATTCTGTATGCTTGTCAGTGTTTCTAGTAATCAGTGTAATAATGGAAAGTTCTCCGAGACCACTAGATGCAAATATTATGTCTTTATAGTTAATTTTGTTAAAGATTTCAATTGTGCAGTATATCTGATGATTGATGATTTGACCTTTCAGCTTAGCAGCGGAACCCCTCTACACGAAGCTGCCGTGTTTGGCAAGGCTGACGTTGTCCGTGTTCTCCTTGAATATGATGGCAAATTAGATGCAAACATCCAGGATGCCTCAGGGGAGACAGCCCTCGAAAAAATTGAAGAACATCCTTCAAAGAAGTCGGTCATCATCAGCGCATTGATAAAAGGTAAATCTCTTTGTACATTTCTTGATTAGTATGGTTTTGGTAGACATAGGAATGATAATGAGGAGTGCCACTAGAAAATGCAAGTGGATTAGGAATTCAATCCTCTATCATAGGGAGCTGAAGCTTGGTGATGCAGCTGGTAAGGAGACAGGTTTTGGAGCTCAGGTTCTCTGGTTAGAAAATATCACCTTTCTTGGTCTTGGATTGTGTACTTGGGTAAAATATTCTTTAATCACCTCATCATTTGAATGGAATTTAATAAGATGGCTCATTGAGAATCACAAATAATGTCATTATAGCTTTTCTGGTGTATTGGTCTTTGAATCAATGCCTATGTTTTGTCTAAGGATGGAATATACTTGGATTCTAAACATACTTGTCTTTTTAAATATTTTCCCAGCATATATTAGGAAGGAACCATTACCAGCATCAGAGCCGGACCGGCCACCATCTGTCAACTTAGAGAATGCCGATCTCCCCAGTGATGGCATACGATCACGGCACTCATCAGGCTCTCCAGGTGCCAACACTGCATATTCCACTTACCAGAATGTCTGCTTCTTACATCCAAGTCCCAGTTCTCCTCCAGCTTCCTGCTCTCCTCCGTCAGTTACAGTATCACCGGAGCAGTCGGAACCTAGCCAGGAAGATCCTAAAATATCGGAAGACACTGTACCAGATTTTATACCATTAAAACCAACATCTAATCCTTTAAAACCACTGCGGCATCATGGGTCAGAACCAGATCTTTACGAGAACGTTGCTCTTCTTCGTAAAAAATTACCACCCAAAAAGCCTGTGCGCTCTTCTTTTGGAATCTTTCCATCAGAGGATAATCAAGGCAAAAGTGTCATTCGTACAGTAGGTCAGGTGGACCAATCATTACTTCGCAGTATCTATGCAAAAATTGAAAACAGCGAAAAACAAAAAGGTTAGCCATTATCTTGGAATTGGTTGGCACTTTGTCAATTATCATTATTGTTGTAATTAATGAACAATAAATGATGTATTTTGATAATCAATAATCCACTAGTATATTTCAAAGTAACACAAGCATGACTAAAGCACTAAATTTATTTTTTTTATATTACTATGAAGTATTCTGTGACAAATATATCTGTGATTTGACCATATATATAATATGTTAGATATATAGGACATAATCATGCCCATATCTACACCATTTATACCACACTATTTTCAAAGTATCCATAGCGCCATGGGTATGGAGTATAGGGAGGTATGGAGTATAGGTGTAAATTGAATATACAAGTTCCTTCTCCAACATAGCATCCTAGCTTCATTTTCTTGAGCTACCCCTCAGTATGGGCAGGGCTTCATCAAAAGCATCAAAGTAACCAAATGTATCCAAAATTTAGAAATTAAAAAAAAAATAAAAACCAGATTTGCAATACTTAAAGACTTAACACCAAGTAGTTTACTTCACTCCTATGTTTAAAATCATTAAATACATAAATTAATATTTAAAACTATATTTATTCAGTACTTTCAGACACTAGTGAGTCACCGCAGTCCGTTGTACCTGACTGTACACATTGTGACCTTGAGGATTCTGGAGATTATGCACAACTCAGGACCGATGCAAAAATTCCCACAAACAGTGACACAATAGAGAGGACTCAATGTAAAAATGACACACATGTACAACAACAAAGTCATCAACAACAAATAAATAATCAACCATTTAGTAATCAGCAAACAAATTTAACAGGAAAAAATTACCAATGTGCAGAACAAGAACATATAGATAACAGAATTACTCAAGGGCAACAAATAGATCAAAGTCCACAACATCAGAGAATTTTAAATGATGAAGAATATCAACAAAATAATCACTATCAAAACAAACATCATCATCACCAACAAGAGAAGCAACATCAACATCACCAGTCCAAAGAAAAAGGAAATGTTCCTGAAAAGCAGAGAGAACAGTGTAAAAAGCCTCAGAGACAGAAAACGGCGGATGCAAAGATACCAGTTGCGGCACCCAGGGGGTCGATACGCAAGCCCGAACGAGTGAGTGCTGCACTAATGAAAGTTTATGTGAATGATTAACCTTAGATAGGAGTCAAAATTAATTAATTTAATGATTAATTAATTAAATGATTAATTAATTTAAGCATTTTTTTAGTATTTGGTTCAGCGAATTATGGGAATATGATTTTCTTACTTTATTTGATGGATATATGATTTATTGGGTTATTATGAAGGGCTTTTTGCTAAAAAGAATTGACTGTAATTTTTGAAGACCAGTGTCCCATAAGCTATTAAATTGCATTCCATCTAAAGATTATTTCAATTTATTAGTAAATCGACTAAAATATATTTCATATACAAAATATATATAATACAATTTTATTTGAAACATATTTTACTCCCGACTCTATTGGACACAATAATTTAATGATTAAAATTTCTTTAAAATTCAATCAAAAAAGGTAATTTTAATATTTAAAATGAGGTTGTAGGTACAACTTGATGATGAATAATGAAATTAAAATATTTAAATCTATTTCTAGGTACCAATCTGGATTTTTACTATGTATATATAAAACAATAAAATGAGGGACAGCATTTCAAAGCTGGGCATATCTAACAGATATTGTTGTTAGACTCGGCATACAATATGATTTTGTTTCGAACTTATTTGATCAAACAATTCATATGCTTTTCCATATGTGTTGGGTTAACCAGGATTTCTTACTTGGGGAGGACAGGTGGGTGGTACCATGGTGGTACATACCTACGCAAGCCAAGGGTGCCCTGGCCCCCATGATCATGATGGAATTCAGGGAAGGGGCTCCAATAACTTTGAAAGAAAGAAGTCAACTGGAACTGAAACATTCTAGCCTATAAGTGATGCATTTTTATGGTATTTAATGCAACAACGGGGTGATTTTTTTTGTACCAAAGGGGTCCGCTTGAAAACAGTGGGTTTATCTTGTTACGGGCTTGTAGCTCATAGAAGTTTGATCAAATATTACCTGCTGAGGCTAGCAGACAAACATGATGGTGTATGACCAGTTCAATACTAATATATGACATAACGTTTTATTTCTACAAGCATCAGCACTATTATAACTTATTCATGTGATGGTAAGGCATTATTAATGAGAACTTGTGGAAACATGTCCCAGTTAGTTTAAAAGTTATAGTGATATTTATTGTGTCATATATACTAATATAACCATCCTTTCAATTTAGAGGATTATGTCATTGAACAGTATTTGTCATTTTTTATTAGTAGGCATTTTAAAAAACAAATTATGCACACTCTGCTTCAGAGTGAAAGTTCAAATAGGCAAATCAGGGTATTTTTTTTAAAGTTCTCAGTGGAATCTGGTTTAAACAACCTTTTGTAGGCCACCATGACGTCAGTGTTAGCACAACATAGGTTTAATCTATCCATGTACGGACCTGTTAATTAGACTAGCAGCGATAGTTTCCTGTCTACAGGCCACAGTAGCTGTTTCTAAATGAAATACAGTACTAAATTGAGAATAGATACCTACCTTCACTTTAGGATTTGACTTCAAAACTGTCTTGAAAACAAATGATTAATTGAGCTACTGGGCCAGTAGCTTATCTAAACACTAAATTTTGATAATATTCATTAATATTAAATCATAATTTTAAAATAATTAATAAATTATAGTTTTCTTGTCTTAATGAGAAAGAAATGTTGTTTATTAGTGTGTTCAACTGCCATGTACCGATAATAATGTATTTTTATCTATAATGTCAACCAGCATGTGCCTAACTATTGAAATTAAATCAATTTGTTCCTCGTGATGGCCAAATATTGGCTGTCCAAAATTGGTTGCCCAAAATAGTTTCCAAATAATTTGTAAATTTCCAAAAAATTATAAATTAATGATAAATGTGGTCGCTTATACACAAGTAATCAGTGCTATCTCCAGTCATTTTAGTTGATAACACAAACAAAAAGATGCAAGTAAGTATAAAAATGTCATTCCAACAATGAAACAAATAAAACAAATTTAATTACTAGTTTTTGTAACCCAATGAACAGTTTTAATTGAATCTTAATGTCATTTTGCATGTAAGTAGCTAAAAAAATAGCCACTAAGAAATTTTAATATAAGCAACAATTCCATTCCAAGATGTAATTTCTTTGTGTTTTAGTCTTAAAGATTCAGCATCCATACACAAAAGAAAAACATTTGTGCAATTCCAGAATTTTTTACGTTAATCATGTTTAGATTTTACATTAGAATTTCATCCAAAAAAGTGCTGCAGTTAGTATGAAACCATGGCATTCATTATTAAATTTCGGTTACACCATGGTGGAGGTATACCTCTAATGACCACCATGGTGGCATAGAGGTATACAGTACTACCATGGTGTCACAAAGGTATATCACCATGGTATCCACATCTGTGACACCATCATGGTATATTTCTGTGACACTATGTGTTATACCTCAGTGACACCATGGTGTTATACTACTATGATACTAGGGTAGTATACCTCTGTGAAACAGTACACTGCTTTGACACCATGGTGGTACACATCTATGATACCATGGTGGTATGCCTGTGTGACACCATGGTGATATACCTCTGTGACACCATCGGGTATACCTCTGTAACTCCATTGCGGTATACTTCTATGACTCCATGGTGGTATACCTTTGTGACACCATTGTGGTATAGTATCTGTGACACCATGGTGGTATACCTTTTCTGTTTAGTGTGACAGATTAGATTTGATATATGCCCAGCTTCAGAGGATTTTGAATGTAAAAAAATACATTTTGCAAAAATATTATCATATTCATGAAACATGTTAAATAGTTATAATTCCAATGTAAAACGAGGTTTATCTTCCAGTTCAATTAGTATTAGAAATCAAGTAATATTTTATAAAATTCCAACTCAACCTTATCAAAGAACTGATTTATAAAAAGTAAAATCCTCTTATATGTTTTTATACTGATTAGGTTAGTAGAATTTGATATTGATTGTATTAGTAAACTAGGCCCACAGGTACTAAGCTGTTTGTTTTTATGGTGTTGAAGTATGTTTGGCTACCATAGCTTACAATGCATATTAAGCTGTTTAGATTTGTAAATATTACTAAATGTAGTCAACAGCACTGCTACATATTAATTACTATTGCTAATTAATTAGGCTTTATTTTGCTAATTAGAAATTAACATTTGTGCTGTTTGCATTAGTTAATTATTTATTTAGAGCTATTTATTATTACTATTGTGGCATAAAGTAAATTTATTTTACCATTATGCCCTGCTGAGTCCTAACAATAGAGGGAGCTATTTAACCACTCCTTTTGGAACTTATTATATTCAGTGGCGTATCTAGGGGAGGGCGTGGCAGGGCCGCACACTTTCCCAAAAATTACTTCCTCCCCCATTTCCCCCCCCAAAAAAAAATCACGGTCAAGTAGTTAAAAATGACCTAAAATCACCATATTTTGCGAATTAGCGCCCCTCAACTGATCATCGAGGCCCCCACTTTACCTTCGCACCGAAACATTCTAACGTTCATTACTTCTTTGTTATACATTGTACAACCACAGTCTTAATGGCTGGTAGTTCGGGGAAGATACACCTAGACAATAACGTACAAATAACGTATGTTTGTTGTGTTATCTTGCCGTCAGTACATTCAGTTGCAGGAGTGGGGGCCCCTTCTGAACATATACCAACCCAGTTTTACATTTAACATTTTATTAATTTTACAAGATGAAATCTATACATTGTTCATCATAAAACAAATGCTTGGAATTCTTATACATTAGTATAAATTTACCCCTAGATCACTAGTGACAATAATGTAATGTTAAAGCTTGCAGACAAAGCTTTAACCACTTGATATAAAAATCACATTATTAAATTTCAACATATTTCAGTATTTAAACCTACAATGTTAAGTTATATCTTAAAATATAGTGCTTAGAAAACATCTTAAAATTTATAGTTGTGTGTTGCATAATGTTAGTTATACCAGCTTCTAATGTCCATACCAATATAATTGAAACAAATTTATGTTGTTAAATGTCACACCATCCATATCATCTACTAATACATTTCTATTCTATAAAAATGCATGTATGTGCAGTAATATCAATATCTTGTGTAATATTTATATGTAACTAAAAGAAAGTATAATTTTTGTAATAGTTGTTTTATACTTGTACATATATTTACTATATATTAATAATTACATAGATATGTACTGTATACTGTATATACTTGTAACACTTATATACATATTTGAACAATACATACATCAGTATAATACACAATGTATAGTATAATTATAGTGCATACATATGATTGTAGTCACCCACACAGTACACATCCCAGCATACATTTAGAGCTATGGTACTCAATAAACATATACCTACAAAATTTACATACTGTAAGTACATATACACATAGTTATACATAGATTAAATGTACATGAATATAACCATACCCATACACTCTGACACATCCCAAAGCACAATTACCAAGTAACAACATATACTCATTAATATATTGCTGTTGTAAATTATTTTATTTTGGTTATTTTATGGTATTAATACATTTGTAAATATTAGTTTTGTATGTTTGATATTTATATGTTTATTTAATTCTGTGGGTCTTTATTGTTATACTTATTATTGCATGCCTATTTGATTTCAGTTCAATTTTAATTTAATTTAAAATTAATAATAATCATTTTTATAATTGATATTTACTTTGGCATGTAGTAGGTGGCAGTACTATTTTTCTATAGCAAAGTAGAATAGAAGATTTGCATTAATATGGAAAATATATACACATTTACTAGTTTCTTTATGTTTTATGTTTGTTTTTTAGTAAATAACTATTTTATGATTAACTAGGCAATAGTTACCAGCGCTCATATTTCTTGCTGCTGAAAAAAATTGCTAAATTCTGTTAACTGTATAAAAAATGTTATTTTGCTCTTTTACCTGAAATTTTTCACATAAATGCTTAAAAATTATGCAAAACTAATTAATTTGGTTTCTACTGCACAAAGCTTTAATATTCAAATTTGATGGCTATTGGGAATAATAGGGCACGCTGGTGTTTGGTATTAGGATAACATTTGTTAATTATTTCTTTATTGTGAATTTATTGAACTTTACATGCATGGTACACTATAATATTTGAGCAAGTTAAGACATCAGACTTATTGATCAACCTAATTAACGAGAATTAAATAACATCATGTTACAAAAATTATGAAATATAGAAAATCATTATAATTCCTACTTAGCCTGCTGGTGATGCAGTAAACCAGTGATTGGCCTGTAAGTTTTCAAAACATCCCACCATACAGGCTTTTGTTCACTTTTGCATCTATAAAAAAAAAAAAAAAAAAAAAGCTAACACCAATGGAAAGCACCTTTTCACTGCTAATAGTGATATGCATTTTAAATCATTATGCAAATTTATGCAAATAAAAAGCAAGCATCCTTATTGGCTCTCTGCAACATTGAAATCATTTCAGAAAGCTGACGAAATAGATGATGATTCTACTAATAGTAAAACTAGTCACAGCACAGATTTTGAACCTCTAACCCAACCCTCCGACGAGGTCCTCTATGAAAGCCTTTCTCAAGCACTCAGTCACCCTTCAAATGATCAGGTAAGATGGAGCTAGGCCACTGGATGATGTCATCTTATCTCTGCCAAAACTCTCGAGCTACCTCACTGAAGCACTACCTCTGGGTGATGGTCTGCTTAAATCTTTGCACTTGACCTACCTTGCCTAGAACTCCATCCTTACTGCAACATCTTTCCCTTCACCATCATGGTTCTTATTTTCAGTTTACATAGTTGCCTTTTTTATGCAGCAAAATAATCGTTTTAAATTGTTAAAGGGAACAGCGACGGAAATGCATACTGCAGAGGGGTAAAACAACAGTAGTTATGTGCATTCTTGGGAGTGGTCGGGCTCTCAAACTTCAGTGTATGTATGTTAGTTTCTTACCACCAGGAGTATAAATGGGTACCTGGTAGGGTGTGGCATTAAATATATCAGTCTGCACAAAACAAATCTGTTCCTGCACTATTAGGTATATAGTTCTGTGATACAAAATCGCTTATACACAATAAGCAACCTTTCTCCTGGGGGGGGGGGAGTATTCTTAGTCATTTTGTTATTTCAGATCTGCCAATTTCACTCCAAATCATTCACCTTCTAGCAGTTGCCAATTTATACTCCTGGGTGAAGAGAAGCAAACATAGACCACAAGTAATGTGCACAACCTATGACCACTTGATTATAGGTGAAAGGTTTATCACTGGCACATGCTTCCACATCTTATATTAAGTTGCTTGTGAAGTAATCAGCTTCCTTTGTATGTCTTCATTTCTATAAACTTTGCATCTGTTGCTATTACTGTGTGTAGATATATCTACTTGTATTTATTTGTACATTGTGAATGGATAATGAATATAAAATTAACATTTGCATGTTTAATCAACACTCGTTAATTGTTTTGTATTCCTAATGTAATTACAGCATTAATATATAATGTGTGTCAATGCTTTACTAATTCAGGTCCTCTAAAAAAAATTGCAATTTACTTCAAAATGAGAAATTAAGGGGAATATTTGTTTAATAATCTTTAAATAAATGCAAATAAAGTAAAGATAGCATAACTCAGGCATAAGCAAGAAGTAGATAAAAAAAATTAAGGGAGGGAGGGTTTATTTTCCTTTATTTCATGCTAAAAAGTAGATTCAGTTATGTTAGTACAATTCTTAAGCATTTTCTGACACAATTTTGGGTTTATAATTCATGATGTTTTGTTTATCGCATGACGTTTCTAAGTGGTAAGTGTATAAAGATAATATTTTTGTGTTTAGAATTTTCACAGCAGATATTATTCTGCAAAGTTGATCATGTGCATTATGATCCATATTTATTTTTCATTTAAATTATATACACATAAACAATATGGTAATTATTTAAGCAATGCTTTACTATTAGATTGCTTTGAACTAAAAATAAGACTTGTATTAAACATGAAAACATTTTCTGATATTGTCTCTTTTGGCCATCTGATGGTGTGATAAGATTTTAAAACATCTTAGTCCTAAAATTGGGGGCGCTTTGGTTAGTGAATACTCAAGCCTATATAAATCACAGTTTAATTCCATATGACCACATCAAAAATTGAGCATCACTACAATACAAGTAAAAATGAGCTATATAATGGATATGTTAGCAAGAGGAAGGTAGTATTGTATATCTACACAAAGTAGCTATGTTCTTCGGTGATCCCACCTCCACAAAATCAAACCACTAATTTAAACAAATTAATGTCAGTATTTTATAACTTACCTGCCATTTTCATTCACAAGCTCTGGTAATAAAGAACTGTCAAAAATGCCAAACTGAATCAGTGGTTGCTCTAGAATAAGTTTTGAGTTTTTGCTTCATGTTACTATTACCCCTAAATATTAAGGTTTGGCTTTCTCTTATCTTAAAATTATGATAAACTTTGCAATCAAAATTTATAACTATTTACACTTCACTCTTTCCTTGAAAATAGTATAATGTGGCTGTTTCAGGTACAAGCTGAGCAGACAGCAGATTTTCAGCAGACGACGCATCTTCCTGGTCACCGATCAAGGTTATCAACAGCCTCATGCTCATCTACGTCCTCAGTCTCCGAGTATGAGCTTCTGTGCGAAGCCTCCACTGGTAGTACATTTAGACCGACATCGGAGCAGATTGAAACTGAAGTGACAGGCTTTGAGAAACTCTGCCTTCGAAGACAAGGTATGCATTTATGTAATTAAAGATTTCTTCCTCTTATATGTTGCCACCTTCAACATGCAGAAGATTCTACAGCTTAATGTGTGTGTGTGTGTGCGCGTGTGTGTATGTTTGTGGCTGTGGGAAGGCTGCATGATGTCTACCCCATAATTATGTTTCCTCTTTTCTTTTCTCCACTTGTGCATTCTAGTTTTCTTCTTTTTTTTAAGTAATGTTTTATTAAATTATTAAAAAAGCCTAATAAGGTTGTGACAGGAATGGTCAGATTCTGTTCTTCAAACCCATAGATAAAGTTGATAAAGTTATTTGGAACACAATAAAAAATTCTATATGTACATTTAACACCACATTTTCAATCAAAGGAACCAACAGTAAAGTAGACATTTTTGAAACCTATAGAAAGTAAGAGGAAGTGGCAGATTTTATTTCATACTTGACCTAATACGACTCAAACTCATAAATATCTGAGGTTACCATACCCTGGTCGTGTATTTTGCTTTGGCTTTTTGTTGTTAATAAAATGTTTGGTCTATGTTAAATTTGTGATTAAGTAATTCATTTAAAGACATATTTTTAAAACAAGTTTTATAGGATGCGTGCAGAAAGAATATTGATATGCGGAAAAGTCAAATTAACCCCCCTCCCCACCCCCATTTTTTTTTTTTTTTTAAGATGTGACGCTAAACAATGCAATGCATCATTTCGAGTTCTTGCTTATTAGGTGTTGCTTTACTTTATTTCAAAAGGGAAAAAAGTCGCTGCTTTTTACCATACCACGATAACTAAAAATTTGGCAAGTCCAATTAGTTTCAAATTTGGCAAAATGCAATGAATGAATTTGGTGACTTAATTATCGCAATTCCCAAATTTGTGTTTAGTTTTTGCGTACAAAGGAACGTACACACCCGCAGGGTTCTGGTTTTCAGTTCAATATTCATTAAAGTAATCCAAATTGTATCAGTTTCTTTTGTGACATTTTCTTTAGTAATGTAACGTATTAGTAATAAATCATTATTTCAAAAATGTAGCCCAATATTTAAATGTCAGCCTTGTCACTGGCTTATTATATATTTGTGTAAAGTTGAAATGACATGAGTTTTTGATCAATGATTGTCGAGGGACCAATATGATTAGCATGGTACAAATTAAAGAAAATTAGATTATTGTACTGTAATACTATTATTGTTTCTATATTGTGTTGCTATAGAAACGTATGAGAGTTCAGGCGTTGGATCACTGTGCACCAACTCAGACAGCTTGTACATGACGATGAAGCCAGTCACATGGGAAGAAGGCATGGATGACGATGGTAGGGCGCCCTCTCCAACTACTCCAGATATTCCACCTCCTTCCCCAAACACAGCAGCCCAAGGGATTCATTCCAAGTTATTGCCAAGATCGGTGAGTAAAATATATACATATATAAAATATGAAGACATTTATTGTTTGGTTTGTTTAGTTGTCTACAGGAGGTGTTTTTTCATGACATTGTAGGAGTTATGAAGTGAGCCCTCTATAGTTTTAATATTCTAATTTACTGAGGAACGAATAAAAGTTCAACCTGCCAATAAAGATTTTATATGATGTGTTTTTGGGAAAAAACATAATGTACCAAACGGGATTCGAAGCCAAGGCCTTTTGATTAACTTTTGGTTGCACTACCATATGAGCTGAGGCCAAGCTGGTGTACTTTAATGGATTTTCCTATTTTTGTCAATAATTTAAAAATTAAAGAATTGGAATTTTATGCCTGTAAAAATCTAGAAAACCTTTAAAAGGTTAAACAAAAAAAGTATGTTCATTTAAAAAGATAATGTCAGTTACCAACATTAACTGTGGCAGCTCAGCTTTTTTCTGATATGAAGTTTTTATTTCAATATCTTGGGAAAAATCTTTAAATTGATTGCTAGCCACTTTAAGGACTTGAAACAATATATATGGATTGTGTTATTTATACATCCGTTATTATTTATTATTATTGTTTATATAATTTATATAGTGCCTTTTCTTGGCAGATACAAAGCGCTTCTCTTCCCTGGTCATTAAGTGTTGATGCTGGTAATCAGCACAGGACCAGGCAACCCCACCAGGTACCCATTTACACTCCTGGGTAAAGAGAAGCAATGCAGAAAAAGTGCCTTGCTCAAGGACACAAGCGAAATGTACAGTGAGGGATTGAAACCCTGACCTCGAGGTTGGGAAACCAAACCATTCCCGCTGCGCCAAACTGCCTCTGATAATTGACGATAGAAATTTTTCCGCATTCTAATATTTAATTGAAAGCTAATAATAATAAATTTGAATATTCAATTTAATTGTGTATGTTTATTAACTCAACAAAGAAGTATATCTCTAAAATAATTGTAATTGAATATTCAAAGTAGGTTGCTTTACTAATGTAGAATTATCAAATTAATTACCAATTAATAATTAACTTTACAAACTATGTATTGTATTTTATTTGTTAACACTCAGAGCCAAAGTAGGCTACTTTACTTTGTCGAATTATCTGTATTAATTATCAGGCAATTAAATAGATTGACAAATTAGTTAATTTGTATACATACAAACTAAGCTACTGTATGTACCTGGGTGACTATACTATACTAAATTTATCTGGCCCAAACATCTGATGTAAAAATTACCAATTTTATTAGCTAATTGATTAGATTTACAAATTAATTATCTTAGGACTGCTTATGTGTTTAATATATAATGTAGTCTTAGGAAAATAAAAATATTGGTAATTAATGAAGACGTGGAAGGCAGTTCAAATTAATTCCCTCAGGAAAATTCTAAATGGTTTAGCATGTCTTGGGAAAACTCAATGAATCGTAGGTCAGTATCTTTGAAAGGTGTTAGTTTAAGATAGTCTGCTCGTTCTTAGAGATCCGTAATAGACTGTCACGATAGTCAACAGCTGTTTGATATCTCAGAGGCCCAGTGGACAGTTACCGTCCCTCATCCAATTCTTAATTCTGGGGTCAACGTGGTTTATGCTAGGTGATCCGACCTTAAGTGCACCGTATTTAATTAACATATATCTATGCTTACCATGACATGTCGTCAGAGTACGCAGCATCTTAGATTTGTACAAGTTGTTACATGACTGATTTGCATAATTTTGTTCTGCTAGTTTTATGTGTTAAATTTTCTACAAGAAAATTAGATAAATTTTCTACATTTGAAGTTTTTGCTAAGTCATAAATGGTCCACCGAGCAGAATTTGGCACAATTAAATCACTGATTTATTGCTGATGGGACAAAAATAAATCTGGAAATATGAGGACAGTTCTATGAAATCAGTAATCTGTATTTGAATAAAAGTTGGAGAATCAAGTTAGACATAGATCACTTTATTCATCATGAGTTTAAAATGTAAGTGTCATGAAAATTATTTTCCTTGGTAGGACAAAAACATCAAGAATGAATTTAACACTCAGCTTACCAAACATAGGACAAGAACTAACATAGCTTGTAGTTTGGTAGATCATATGTGGATAATTAATTGTAGGGTGTTTAAGTATCTTGAGAGAATGTCCTATCAAAACTATGATGTACACCCATTACCCGGCCATCCCTTCAACTTATTAAAAGTAGTGATGATGCTGTAAAGATAGCTGGTTAACTTACTTTTCAAGTTGGGGCACGTTCTTTACTTGCACGCGAAGTGTTTGACATGTAAAATTGCGCCTCTCAAAATATTGTCTTTACTAATGGGTTTATTGGATGAACCCTTTCAGTTGTAGATTTCTTAGTATTTCTGCATTGGTCAGTCAGAATTTACATCATGTAGAAGTCATTTGAGATGCTCTTATCTCTAAATCTGCACCTAATGTTGTAATTTAGATTGTGGATTGGGACTATTAGTCGAAGTGAAAGTTCATTAATAATGTCTGTTACATTCAACATTCGACATTATGTGTCTCAAGGCGCTAGGCTGACATTAATGTTGTTTGTGAGTGCTTGATACGAGAGACATCATTTTATATATGTTTTGTGTCAGTGATGCTCTTTTGGAATCCACATTATAGAAATAATTTTTCAAGAAAGCCTTTAATGAACAACTTCAGAATACAGAGAATTACACTGTTGAAGGAATATAAACGAAATAAAAGTGAAGGATATGGTTGGGCCCCTTTAATCATGAAATCAAATGATATAGCCACTTTGGTATGGAAAAAAACTTCCATTGGTGGTAATAAATTTATTATCATCATCTTCTTATCGAGTCTATACACAGGTTTATATTCTATTCAGCCGTGTCCGCACACATATCCTAGCGTTGTCATTGAATTCCGCAAGGTAGCAGCAGTAGTTGCTCTCTCCAGAAGGGGACAACTAAAAATATGTTCCATTGTTTGAAGTTCTGCTCGACTCTCACATTCTACCGAGTGTGAGATGATAATGGTTTTGTTTTAGTTATTATATACAGTACATATATTTCTTGTATTTGTTAATATACATAAATGTTGTAGTTTGATAGCTGTGTTAGTTTAAATAATATCAAGAAAAATGGAGAGACAGTATTCCGATACTAGCTTTAACATCAAGTGCCAGCCTCCCTTATCCTATTAATATACTTTACAAAGTAATAGTCTAGATTTAAGCACTTGATCTGATATTCTATATCTACGACGTTGACGTGTCCTTGAAATAACCCAGTGACTTAATCACATGCTTTACCGGCGGATTTATCACATGTTTCACTTGTCGTTGGTATACAGCATCAACAACCTTCGCAGTCATTAGGAAACTACTGTCTTACTTATCGCTCGTTCTCAGCCTTAAGCCATCCGCTTATGACGTTGATACTTACGTAATGGTATCAAATGGTTGAATGCACTTGTTGTCGTGTAATTGCTCAGTGGCTGTGAGGGAACATTTTCATTTGAGGTCGGATTCTAAGTGCTTTGGTTTTGCCGTTTACTAGATTAAATTGAATAGGTTTATGATACATTTACGGTAATGGTAGACTTGTTAATTTCTTTCTCGTTTACAAATAATACTCTCCATGTTATATTTAGAAATTCGGCATAATTGGCTTTAGCTCTTATTGGTCGTAATTAATATTCATTGGAAGTGAATGCGATGAGTTTATTCGTACTCGAATTTTCTTTGAAGTTGAATTGCCGTGGGTTAAGAATCTTGTTTTCTGACTGAGTTAATTCGCTAGGTATTGGACAAATACTTTATTTTCACTGCTTATACAAATATTCTTCAAATAAATTCCTTTATTCATCATACTGTACATACTTTTAAAATACATATTGATAAATCCACAGTCTATGGAAAAGGAATTACCCAGCAGCTAATAATAAATATTCATATACATATATACATGTAGAAGGTATGTGGTAGGAACATTGTTTGCCTTCATAGATGGTGATGATAATTAAATCAATCTTAATTTAAAAAAAAAAACAACAAAAAAACAGAAGAGATTTTATTACAGTATTGTTAAAGAATTATGGTAAAATACAGAGAAAAACTCTTAATAGTATTAGAATATGCATTATCTCAATAGCAAGTCTGCTTAGGGAAGGATTTTAGCCTGATGATGCTTCTAATGCTTAATGCATGCTGATGCGAGCTCAGTACTTGTCGCTCTTTTAACCTGTGTTTCACAGCCCTTGATTTATACGCTCTGCCTGGCACATTACTTTCATGTTAATCATCCATTTATGCATAAAAGTTACATTCATATCTTATTTGTTCACATTTATCAACTCATGTACGAGACGATCCGAAGGATTCTACGTTGTCTCGAAAGATATATTGTTAGAATTTGTGATACTTTATCTGTGAAATCTTGATAGCTGGCGACCAGGTTATAGCTTCTGCCGAGATTGTAGGAATTTTGCAGGTTTACAGGCACCCTATGATAGGTATGTTGTGTTTTCTCCCAAAGGAGTGATATTTTGGCAGTGTTGTCAAAATGAATGTGTAATGTTTGATTTATAGTAGAACAGGCAAAGGTGTGATTAGTTGTATGGTAAATAGTATAAACTGTGACACATTTTTAAGGTGCTTATTTTCCAGTCCTGTAATTCTAGGTTCAATCCATGCTGAATGAAAGGCTAACAGTTGGATGAGAATAACATCATCATCAATGTTGTCATCATAATTATCATCATCATTGTTGTTATCATCACCATTATAATCGTCGTGTTCACCATTAAAACCATCCTATCATAATTACCATCATTGTCAACTATTTTTGGGGGGTAGGCACCCCTAGTTTTCTTATTCACTGTTTATATAATTATAATATTTTGATAAGATCATAGATGATGTAATGTTTTGCAAACATGTTGTTTTTCTTGAACCTTAGTTGCGTACTTGTCTGTATTTTGTACTTGTCTGCATTTTGTCCTTCATTGTTGGGCGGTAGACATAAT